CATTTTAGTATATACAGGTTTGTTATAATAATGCTTAGTGAAACTAAATTGATTTGTAAGTTTGAGACAAATGCAAGTGCATCAATCGATATGACAGAATATATTGAGGTTATTGTCCACTGCTGAAAAGCAATTGACTGAGTAAATAATTTGCATATTTGACTGAGAAGTGTTTGCTTTAAGAGGAACTGTTGTAAAATTGCAGAAACCAAATATATTATCTGATTTGAATTCGAGTGAAATACTTACGAATATAGTCCAACGGTTTCTGGACTCCACAAGAATGGAGGTCCCATTAAATAAACAGCAACATACTGTAAGTCCGCTAAAGCTGACACTGAACCAAGTAGAACCATTGACAGAATCATAATCACCACAGGATCTAAATTTTTCAGACGCTGAAAAGTAAACAAATTATGGACTAGTTAAGACGGATTGTTCTCATGCACGTTTGACACGAAACCTTGACCAGTTATGAAATTTGTTGCGTAAATCTCTATCAGTCATGCAGAAAGACCTACACATTAATGATTACGCAGTGACATTCGTTTATTCTTCACCCAAGTTTATAAATGTAGAAAATCGCATGAGATCACGTTTGGATTAGTTAGTGATTTAGGTGAGTTTAATACATATTGCATATATGATATAGAATGAGTAGAAACGTTTTTGGATCTCATAAGTAATTGATTATTGATTGCATAATGTTCATACGCAGATAAGTGAGAAAGTCATTTTAAATTGATTTCTGATGGAAATGTCACTAGTTGTTTATGTTCAAAACAGACATGACTTTTCTTTTGAAATCTATTGACCTTTATTAAATGATCATGATGTAGATGGTAACTTATCTGGTTTCCGTTTACATGCTTCGAATGATTTTGTTGATTCAGTAGTTTATTGATAAACAGATTAAGATGAAGGGTCACTAAAGTCCCGATTTATTATGCATGGTAATCATGGTATTCAGTTTTGCACGATATGACATGAGTGACACAGAAACATTTGAAAATAGTTTTAAGAAGTAATTACGATGGTTATTATGATTGCGATTTCTGATACAGTTGTTGTCATTCTACGGCTTACACCGTGAGATAATGTACTGATTCATCTATCCAGTCAGTTGTCTTGTAAATATGAAATGATCCTTCCTCGAATATATCACGAATCGATTAGTGACGTATGACAAATTATTTAACACTTGTCGCTTTTATCGAGTTTGGTTGCACTCATTTTCCATGGAAAGTTGACACCAACCGATAGAGGAAATGGAGGTAAATGAACAATGGAATGCTCTACCGTTCTAGTATGTGACTTCACAGAGGTGGATGCACGCAACCACACTGGAGGTGAAAACCTGTAACTTCAATTCTGGGTTTGTTTGCTATGTTTTCAATGGATTGAGTTTGGTTCGAGTAAGTCACATTTTCTACTGCATTCAGGTTGTGATATAACTCAAGTAGAGTCACTTGTTCCATTTAGTGAGTGATGGTGAGTATCGTTTGTTGGTTCGATTGAAATGAAGATGGAACTGTTGGTCATTATCGCATAGTTTGAAACTCTCCATTACTCTACATTTATCAGAACACGGTGTATTCAGTTGTAGACTTGAATTTATCTTGAACCATTGACGAGACTTCATTTTTATTGACATATCGCAAGCGCTATTCAATAAAATACCTAATGTGGTCACAAGTGTAGTAATATCCTAATGAAATCGGCTTTAAACTTACAGGCGGCAGACGGAAAACCTATCGCTACGTATGGCAAAAGGTACGTTTACCTGAAAGTGGGTTTACGCAAACCCATTCACTGAATCTTCGTTGTTGCAGATGTTTCTATGATAATCATTGGTAAGGACCTTCTAAAACACCATAATCTAATCATTGATACGCGCAAGCAGAGGCTAGAAGACGGAAACACTTAATTATCCGTTTGGGTAACTTCTTTTTCTGGTTGCAGATTATCCCCAGTCACAATTAAGCATATGATAGATCCACTTTATCAACCACTACTCGATAAGTATCCTGGGATACAACAAACGCAACCGAAACTACCGTGTGTGACCAGCAACGTTACACATCACATCACGACTACAGGACCACCTGTATTCTCTAAAGCACGACGACTAGCCCCCGAAAAGCCAAGGTTGGCGAAAGACGAATTCGACCACACGATAGACTTAGGTATCATAAGACTGTCAAACAGCCCATGGGCATCTCCGTTGCACATGGTACCTAAAAAGGACAGCAACGATTGGCGTCCAACTGGTGACTATCGGAGATTGAATGCAAAATCCATTCCCGATCGTTACCCGTTGCCTCACATTCACGATTTGACAGCTACCTTGAAAGGTACAACTGCCTTTTCGAAAATCTACTTGGTTAAAGCGTATAACCGAATCCCTATGGCTACTGACGATATTCTGAAAACAGCTATCATCACTCCCTTCGGGCTCCGTGAATTTTCGCTAATGCCTTTCGGTCTAAGAAACGCTGCCCAAACTTTCCAAGGGTTCTTAGATGATGTTTTTCGAGGTCTCAACTTCTTACATGCGTATGTTGACGACTGCCTTATAGCAAGTCCGGACAGCGAATCGCATCGACGGCATCTGGATCTTGCTTTTGACCGACTACAAAACATGGCATTACTGTAAACATTAAGAAATGTCAAATCGGAACGGACTCCTTAGACTTCCTAGGACACACTATAGATACTCAAGGCATTCGACCCCTTAGGACCAAAGTGGAGGCAATTCTGGATTACCCAGAACCGACCACCACAAAGCAATTACGCACGTCTAACGGCCTTGTAAGTTTCTAAAGACAGTTCACCGAACGATGGGTAGCAAACTTCGGCTGCCCTTCAACTATCACTACAGATCATGGATGCCAGCTTGAATCTGAACTTTTCTATTGTCTGACCACACTATTAGGAACCACTCGCTTCCGAACGACCGCCTACCATCCATAAGCAAACGAGTTGGTAGAACGCTTTCACCGACAACTAAAATCTTCACTATCAGCTGCAAACGTTTCACAGTAGACCGACGCTCTTCCACTCGTCTTACTAGGTATTCGCAATGGAGTGAAAGCTGACATTGGATACACTGCGGCTCAACTCGTTTATGGAACAACATTTCGACTTCCAGGAGAATTTATGGACCCTTCTACTACACAAACAGGCTTACAATCGCAATGCGTTCAGTTAAACCTGCTTCCACTCGACCACAATCAACCGATGTTTTCGTTCAACCTGACTTATGATATAGTACACACGTTTTCGTTCGTCGAGACTCACATCGACGACCTCTCGAATCAGCATACGAAGGACCATTCAAAGTTGTTCAACGCGAAACCAATTAGTATATGTTCAATAAGAACGAAACCAACGATAGCATCAGCATCGATCGCCTCAAAGCAGCGTGTTTAGAAAGAAATCCTATATACGTCGATTTTCGTTCGGTACGACTCCTACACTTATAATACCCCAACCGACAGCCGACACACACGATGAAACTTCGGCAGTGTCTGAAAATAAGCGTAAAACGGCGCGTTCTGGAAGAAGAGTAAGATTTCCAGAACAGTTGAACGATTATTGCACGTAAGATACTAGTTGACACTTTAAATCGTCTGGATTTTCTTTTGTACTACATATAATTTAAAAAAAAAGAAATTTTAATATGCTTGTATATTTATATTTCTATCTCAAAAAGAACAAAACAAAACAAAATAAACTATATTCTAAAGATCCTTTTTAACGCTGTTACGTGTGCATGACTTTATTTTCCATTTTTTCGCCCGCTTTGTTTTTTACGCGCGTACAAGTGTATTTCGACATTCTCTTACATATTTTTTCCTTTTCCAGGACGGCTGGCAAAGATGATAAAGAGAACGATGAAGTTTACGAGGAACCGAAATTTTAATTGTACGTTTCTTTTTTACTTCATGGTTCCTTATAGTATGGAAAGACGACCGGACGCTGCTAAACCTAGCAAGCTATCAGAAGAGTATTTACCAACAACAAACTCGTTGAGCTTAATCTTCTGGCTGGCCTCGTCTAGTGGTCATCACTGTCCCACTAGGGAGGGAGCGATCTGTAGCGGTAAATAAATCCCCAAAATAAATAGATCTTTAAGTCTTCAATATTGGATGCTGACCACATTAGTTTTGATGGACTCACATAGCTGAAGGCGCTCGGTCATGCATCCGCACCAGATCACGAGTGTGAACGCCGTGCTCAATAACCCCTGCAATCGCTAACCAGATTAGATCAAACGGTCCTCGATATATTGATAGCTTATCAAATATATCTTCGAACCTCCTCGCTTTTGTCTTTTGATTTCACTTGGTGGGTACGATTCATATTAGAAGGTGTTGCTGGTGAAAGCGTCGTCAAACTCCAAATACGTGCGGCATTTTCACTGCATTAGGTTTGAACTCGATGCAATGCTCCTAAAACCGATGGGACCATAACCTCTTTGGTGAAATGGTTTATTTTAGAGCTTCAAGACCACAACGTTTCCATCTCTTATCATGTTTTTATGGGTGAGCTGAGTCTGATGCATATCCATCACTGCAAGTATTCCTTCGCCTATCTTAACTAGCCTGTAGTTACCAATTTCATTCCTTGTCACCACCGTTTGATCGTTAAGCTAACTCTTTGATAATTCATACTGCTTGGGCAATCAATCTGTTTAATTCTGTTTGCCACTGCCTTCTAGTAGTTTCTCGACAATCCAATGTATTACAACAAGGTAACTATTTTGAATGGTAATATGGTAGCTCTGATTCCAACAGTTTCAATGGTCTACAGTAACTGAGTTCATTTTCACTCAAGTCACAATGACTTAAATAAACTGAAAGTTCTATACTTTAGTGAAAAGACCTTCAGTGCTTGATTACACTGTTACAATAAGAGGGGTTGGTAAAGAAATTATCTTGTTTGCACCCACCTATTTCGAAGAAATTGAACGAAAGGTTATAACATGACCTTAAGTCATACGTAAACTTTTCGAAACCTAAAACATTTAGCATCGTTTGCCAGATTGTCTTAGTTGCACACTTGCGTCATTTCTGAGTGTTTTGGGTTTTATTTCTTGATAAATGTAAAGCATTTTCTGTGTATATCGGAGTGTCGGCTTATATTTTATTATTTTCTCTTTAGAGAGGATAAATTAATATTACCTTTCCTTACGTCGCTGTGATTCTACTTAAGCGTCCAAAGTACTTTCACGATAAATGCAAAATGGGATACTGACTTCATCAAACAACGAAAAGGGGTTTAATTTGGCCTAACGAATGTGAAGTGTCAGGTGCTAAGACCTGTTATCGTAAATCTGATTGGTTCGTCCATAAATTATAGTCCCACTGATCTGAACATTCGAACGGTAAAATGCAGGTTTATAGCGGATTGATATTGGAGAGATAGCATAACTATTCGTGTTAAAGGTTTTCGGATTCGCTAGTGTATTGACATATTGCACAAACTCGATGTCTTAAAAATTTCAGTTACTTTCTCGGCAACGAGCGTAGTGCATCCAGAGACACTTAGTAAGTCCAAGAAGCATAAAGAGCACATTTAAAATAACCAGAAATAACAAACTTATTAACTAAGTGGTCAACTATACGGCACAATTGACGAACACCATCAGCCTAACTATTAAGGTGTTATAGAAGCGGAACTCTAGCAATATGTCTAGTTAGTTCTAAGCCTTATATACCTTGTGGTTACTTTAAGTTGGTAACAAAATCTATCACTCCCAATCAGGTTCAGGAATATCATGTATTCCAAATTATTTTCGTCGTCTAAAATATAGCCACAATAAATACAAACTTCCGCCAACAACCCTGAGTTGAAGGTCTTTCAGGGTGTTTCAGATTATCAGTAATTTGTACTCGTTCTACAGATTAGCGTCGAAGTGAACGCTGTCAACCTTTAGTCCTGCCAAACTATCATTAAACTATTCTTTTGATCTCGTTGTTGTTAGTATTTAGGATAGCATCTCATTATGCTTCGTCTGCGTTTGTTTATTACAAACGGTGGTGTTTTTAATTCGTATGACATTCGTATATCTTATATTTGGGATTACAACGCTTGATGCTTCCAACTGATTCTGGAATAGGTAATGAAACTGAAAAGCATTCATCAGTCTTAATGTACTGGGAATAACATAATTAACGTCTAGTACACCACCCTGATATAAATAACTCACTATATAGTGGTTCCCATTTAGGGTGTAGGTGAGAAAGTAACATTACTGTTCCTGATTTTTTCAGGGGTTAGAAACGTTTATTTGAGCCCGCTGCGTATCCTTGTATGACGCCAAGCTTAACCTTGATCTTGATGACTTCAGGCAAATATTTTACTAAATACCAATTCAATTACATTCACAGTTTCGTGCGCTTTACTGGGTCGAACGATTTATTTATTGAACCTACCTACTAAATGGTGTTGTGGATCTTTTTTAGAAAGTTCCTAGGGACTATCAATATCTCCTCAGTTTCAAACGTAAAATAAGATCGGGAATAATTATTATATTGTCGTGTGTAGTTGGCCTCCTAGTTAATAAGTTTGTTATTTCTGGTTATTTTAAATGTGCTCTTTATGCTTCTTGGACTTACTAAGTGTCTCTGGATGCACTACCCTCGTTGCCGAGAAAGTAACTGAAATTTTTAAGACATCGAGTTTGTGCAATATGTCAATACACTAGCGAATCCGAAAACCTTTAACACGAATAGTTATGCTATCTCTCCAATATCAATCCGCTATAAACCTGCATTTTACCGTTCGAATTTTCAGATCTTTGAGCAGTTATATAACCTTCTCTCCTCTTGGTTTTGTAACTTTAGTACCATTAATCATAAAGAGAGATTATTCTAACTGAAGGACATTGAAACTTTATGTAGTTGACCGGATTGTCACTTCACATTTGAATGTGCCTCATTTTCCGGTTTCGGATTTTACGCGCACTATATTACCAAGCAGTCAAAAACAATTCTAGTCCCATAATATTCCATGTGTCATTTATACTCATTGTATCTTTTCATTGAAAATTTTTTAAATAACTAAAGAAATTTTATTTTCACACCGCTATTGATACAACATTCATTCACGTATTAATTCATTTCAAAGGTTTCTACAATTTTTATGCGAACTAATTGTCTAGAGAAGCGTGAAATCAAAGGCAAAATGATGGTAATGAGTAACTCAATACTCATTACCATTTATTGTTAAAAAGAGATGTATATTGATTTAAAACCAGTAGAAATTTCTCCAAGAAACGTACAGCTCTTCTCTCTTTTAGGTCCGTTGTATGTAGGCTGAAGATGCGCATTTCTAACGAAACAAAAGTCGTTTTAAATCTTGACGTTCTGGCACTATCTGTTTTCATTTCTGTATGTATGTCATTCTTCATAAGTGACCAGTTTGTTTACTACAGGTAAGACAGTACAATTAGTGTAAGTTTTATCTTTAATAACTTACTGATATCCCGTCTTGTTACATAGATTTTCGTGTATATTCATTCTTGGAATTTTAGTGACCAGTTATCATCGTTCGTATTCTTATCAATATCATTTCGTTTTTTGCTCAACAAGCTAACAACCAGAAGCGCAATAAAATGTTTACGTACTTATTTCATAATTATTGGATGATTCTCGAAGTCTCCGAGCCCTGTGTATTAATCTTTGAAAAAACGAAGATTCGCTACCTGATTTATATTCTACTTCAGTTTACGTTTTTGTTTATCTACCAAGTAAACTGATATGTCATATGGCCCGTCGAATATCACGTGACAAAATCATCAATCAAAATGACTTGTATGACGTTGTCCCTGTGCTAAACCAGTGATGCGTCAACCAGCACGACCAGCCTTGAGTCAACTTTTAATCCTTTTTGGTCTTCTGTGTGGTAGCACCTCGTCCACTCCCGCCTGGTTTAGTCCAGAACACAAACACCAGACTCTGTATATTTCGGACACTTGGTTTATATACAAGCAGACCAGATCGCATCACACTATAAAATGAAAGCGAATTATTATACAAGTGTCAGAGGCTGTAACTAAAAAAACTGGGAATAACTTAAGAATAGTAAATCGTATAATAGTAGCCAATTGGTCAAATATAGGCTTATAATAAGGGAAATATAGATATAATCTGGTTATTTAATATTTATGCAATAAGAATATATGCACATTATAATAACAGTCCATAAATAATTTCTCGAATTCGCCCATAGTTTAATCTTCGGACATAGCATGAACTACTAAAATCGATAAGTGATGTGGATCAGCTTGGTGCTATAATTTTAATTTGGATTGGATTTGTAGCAGTATCTGAGGCCTTTTACTGTACTTATCGATAAATTTGGCTGTATTTGTAACTGTTCGCAAGTATGATTCTGTGTTTTTTCGTTCTCTGGTTCCGAATTTTTCTGAGGTGAATTTACAAAATACATTCTGTCACCACCGATGCAGCCTGAAACGTGGACCTGGAAAACAGGATTACAGTTTCTCAATTTTGTTTTTAGGTTTTATCATATGCACTACATATTTTTTTAAATCCCAAGAATAATATAAATCTTTCGCATTTGTATGGATGCAAATTCATTTCACTTTATTAGCACCTATAAACTGAATTTGACTCATGATCTCAACTGTTGAAATTACTACAATCTCCACAAAACCCCTTCTGATACGAATCAACATATGCTCACTAGTGACTGGCTTCAAGAGTTATATCCTGGAGTTCTGGTGAGAAGCAATGACCAGTGGAGTTCAACCAGGTCATTTGTGAGATAGTAACTCACTTATGATAATGGTGGATGTGTGGCTCAATTTCGTGGATTAGTTGAAGTTAGACATTAACACCGTTGGATGCCGGCTCAGTGGTCTAGTGGTTAAGCGCCTGGCGCGAGACTGATAGGTCCTGGGTTCGAATCCCGCGAGGCGGGGTCGTGGATGCGCATTGCTGAGGAGTCCCACGATAGGACGAAACGGCCTTCCAGTGCTTCCATGTTTTCCATGGTGGTCTTGATTCAATTGACTCATGATCTCAGTTGTTGAAATTACTACAATCTCCACAAAACCCCTTCTGATTTATAAATCACGCCAATTTTTTATTAACTGTAAAAGCATTTCATATAATCTACATCGCACCAAATAGTAATGAATTTCCTTGTAAATGGTCAGATTTCAGATTAAAACGCATCCAGTAATTATCATAGTGATGTTTAGACATTATTATGCTCTTATTTTTTTTAAAATTGGTATTACCTTTTACTTACTTACTTACTTACGTCTGTTACTCCTAATGGAGCATAGGCCGCCGAACAGCATTCTCCAACCCACCCTGTCCTGGGCCTTCTTTTCTAATTCCATCCAATTCCCGTTCATTTTTCTCATGTCTATCTCCATTTCCCGGCGTAATGTGTTCTTTGGTCTTCCTCTTTTCCTTTGGCCTCGAGGATTCCATGTGAGGGCTTGTCCTGTGACAAAGTCAGGGGCTTTCCTCAATGTGCGTCCTATCCACTTCCAGCGCTTCTTCCTAATTTCTCCCTCCGCTGGGATCTGGTTTGTTCTTTCCCACAGTTGGTTGTTGCTAATAGTGTCCGGCCAACGGATCCGAAGTATTTTGCGTAGACAACTGTTAATAAACACTTGTATTTTCTGGATAATGGCTTTCGTAGTTCTCCAGGTTTCCGCCCCATACAGTAGAACTGTCTTGACATTTGTATTGAAAATCCTGACCTTGGTGTTGGTTGACAGTTGTTTTGAGTCCCAGATGTTCCTCAGTTGTAAATATGCTGCTCTTGCTTTGCCGATCCGCGCCTTCACATCTGCATCAAATCCATCGTGTTCATCAATGATGCTGCCCAGATATGTAAAGGCTTTTACATCTTCCAAATCTTCTCCGTCAATTGTGATTGGATTGGTGCATGCTGTGTTGTATTGGAGAATCCTGCTTTTCCCATTGTGTATATTGAGACCTACTGCTGCTGAGACTGCTGCTACACTGGTCGTTTTCTCTTGCATTTGTTGTTGCGTGTGCGATAGAAGGGCCAGATCATCTGTGAAGTCTAGATCGTCCAGCTGCATTCAAGCTGTCAACTGTATCCCATACTTCCCCTCAGATGTTGACGTCTTCATGATACAGTCGATCACCAGGAGAAAGAGAAAGGGTGAGAGTAAGCAACCTTGCCTAACACCGGTCTTCACTTCGAACGACTTTGTCAACTGTCCTCCATGCACGATTTTGCAGTGTAATCCATCATATGAGTTCTGTATGATATTGACTATCTTCTGAGGCACGCCGTAGTGTCGAAGAAGTTTCCATAGTGTTGTTACCTTTTAGGCCTTATATATTTTATTTGAATTTCCTAGGTCGTTTAATGACAAGATACATTGTTAAACAATCGGTGACATAAAATTAAAGAAATAACTTAGGCTTTCGTCCTACATGAAAAATAAAATTCACGTATTAAATCTTCATGTTTCATTGATTTTCTAAGGTGCATCGAGTTCTGATGATCTTACTTTCTGTGTTACTGGCATCAGACACACAAAACAGTCAACAATGTAGTGATCAATGAACAAAATAATGTTATGTCGTTAGTGATAAGGCCTTGGTACTAGAGACTGACTTTTGACATCCTGTCTGGATCACCTCAATATAGTCATTTTGTCACAAGTTATAGAGAGCAAATGGGTTGTTGCTATCAGTGAAACCCAGGACGCATGTTTCACCCTATCTGGGACTCGTCAGTTGGATCCACTTTCAAACCCCTGCTTATATTTACGCGAGGGCTTTAATCCATCGCCTTTCCTTTTGAACATCTAGCTTTTTATTCACTGAGCTACTGACTCCAGATGACTATTAAATTGTTTAATGTGTATGATATTTAGATCAATAGTAGCAAGGGCTTGAATTATACGCTTTTTGATATTAAGGAAGACACTATTTAAACTATTATGACCGTGATATTCATATACAAGCCTACCTTATAGACTTGATAGTAATGAAAAGTTTGAATTAACGTCGTTTTGTCAGTAAAATTAATAGTTGTACGGAAAAGTGTTATTAGTCAGATTTTAAAATTAGGTACATTCATCTGTTATTACTGTGCTCAGTCTGTTTAGTCTGAAACTTTCTTGTGCTGGGATAGTTTACTAGAAACACATTACTTCATGAACGTAAAATAAAGTTTCATTTAATAATGAATTAAAGGAATTCGGCGAGAATTTTCCTTTAAAATTATATTGCTCTATTCTTTAAGAGCTAGTTCATACTATCTTTATAAACTGACTGGATTATACATCTTATGCTTGTAAATATGATCTAAATACTGTTGAACGTTTATGGATATCTGTAAATCAACTTAAATCTAGACGTTCGTATTATTTTATAGTTTTTTAAAATTAATTTTCGTATGATTTAGTATGTTTTCAGAAAAAAAAACATAAGTGAACAATATTGTTTACAATTAGACGTTCATTAGGCCTTGATATACGATAATATTTACATGGATATATGAGAATATTAAATCAATCAAGGCAGTTTAAATAAATGATTAGTAGAAAGTACTGATTTACAGTCTAATAGCATGTAACTAATCGTGATGAGATTTATTTCACTTCAATTAATGTTTGCCATCAATTTTTAATTTACATTCTAAATAGAGGACTTGATGTACATTAAATCGAACATGAGAATTAAAATACTTCTGTTTTGATTCAGTCACATATCATTTTTGATCATGTATTAAATCGTATTATTTCACTAGATCCATAGTCTTCAACGCGATTTGGTTTAACTGCTGTATCTATTAGAAAAACGATGACAACTTTTAACTAGTATTGTAAACTAGATGAAATGTGGCTAGCAGCGGAATCCAGGACACTTGTTACGTTCTATTTAGGATTCGTCAGCTGAATATACTTGAATCTCAGAGTTGATGCTCTGGATCTCGAACCTAGTACCGTTCGCTTCAAAAGCCAACGTGTTATCCAAACCATTAAAAATTGAGTTAATATTGTCAATATTGAGATATGCTTTATGTAGATTTTAAGCTGTTTGTTTTATCCTATTGTTTATTTTTTTACAGTTGTCTGTCTGAACAAGGAATTGATTATTGGTTGGTAAATAAAAGTGACGTGTGAGTCTGAATATGAATAATAAAAAAATGCACAATGGGGTATTTTCAGAGCATTTCCCAAGGGTTCACGTGATTGATCTTGATATCCTCTCATTATATCGCAAATTGACTGATGTATAAAGATGAAAACTAATGAGATTTAATTTACCTCTGGATATTAATGTAATTTTCACGATAGCTGAAATTCTGTGGGATATCCTCTTTGAAAATGGCTTAACGAAAGCGCTTTTGAGTCATCCTAAATAAAGACTAGACAGTTGTTTTGTGGTCTCTGTTTTTTAAAGACACTTCAGCCTATACAATCTTGTGATGAAGATTCCCACTCTGACTGTAGCACTTGCATCCAACAAGTGTTTAATCACCCTGAACAATTATCTTTTCTCAAAACATGGTGTATAGATAACAAATATTTTTTTCAGTATCTTGATAATAAACTCATCTATTAGATATATCCATGTTCAAAATTTTTCTTATCAGTGTAACATCATACTATTCTTATCTACCAGTAATATGGTTGACATATCTTCATAATGATAAATCATTGTTCTTCTTAACCGTATAGTACCGCTCAGAGGCTCATTAGTTTCTAGATTCTCAAGGTCACTGTCGAAATCTCTTTTTGGCCAACAGAGGTAAAATATGTGGAAAACATGTGGCATGATGGTTGTATCAAGATAATATGTACAAGATATATAAATCCCAAAAACACTGATCACATTTCAGTTAAAATATCAACAACGAAATGATCCAAACTGTTACACCCAAGGACGCTTTTGTAAACATGCACTAACGAAGTATGGCGTTGAATTCATTTTTATTCTGATCATAAAAATAGATAGGCTCTTTTCATTAATACCTTGGATTTGTTTCAATTCTGCAATTCTGCACTTATCGCAAAACTTATGAAAATCTAATTCATACATTTAGCTACTTATTTCGTCATATACTTTTTAAAACTCATTAGTCAGCAGACTTAAATGTCATCAACATAGAGATTGGTGCAGATATGGACTGACCAAGCTACCATGCTAGATTAACGCGATGAGATAAAGCTAGCAAAATAGATCAAAATAATATAGTATCGATAGTAAAAAGAAAGTGTGAGCGTTTGTAACATAGTTTTAAAAGACAATGGAAAGGTATGTATAAAGAGATACTGAAATTTAAGATCAAGAGGAATATAAAAAGTGAATGCATTTACATCATTGTGATTGATTCCGAACTTTGTCGTCCATTCTTTATCTGTTGATCGTGAATAACACGCGGACCTCAACGAGGTAGTCTGCATCTACCAACATGGATCATACAAATACTGCATAATTATGTGAACTGATGTCACGTTTTGTCTTGCTGGCCTTAGCTTAACTCATCGTGGTAGATGGCAGTTAAATAAATGTTTCATCTTCAGTTGATGGGGATCCACTGCCTCATCAACCTTTAGTAAGTAAGCTATGCCCAACCTCAACATTTCTCACTCGGTCATTCCAAAAATGCGAGCAATGCTTTAAAAATACCTATGGTCAAGTACCTTCCGTCCGTGCATGTTTTCTGCCTTCATAGACCATGTTTCACAGCCGTAAAGTAGAATCGAGCAAACTACTGAACAGTATACACGCTCCCCCGTTGTGAGATGATTATCTCGCCTACTCCATTACATAAAGTCACGAAACGCCAGAAATACAATTTGTCTACTCATTGGGATATAACAAAAAATGTATTTATTACTAAAAGCTTTTACGGGATTTTCCAGGAATCTTCCAGAGAAATACTTTTATGTTTGACACAAAATCAGTGGTACGATTTTGATTTATTTGGATTGCTTTTAGTACGGATGGACTGCAAGCTGCACAAAAGAAAGCTGCTTTTATACAGTCTCTTAAAAATTTTCTGGGTATTGGGACTGGAATTTTCTCAACACTAATCATTGGTTACCTATCAGATAATTATGGTCGGCAATTGACGTTGGGAATTATAATATTAGGAGAAGCTTTACGAATTTTAGCTCTTGGTAGGTTATACAATAAATCTCTTAAATTATTTTTCTTTATTTTGTTACAGATTGGGTCGTGCATGAATTTACTAGAAGTCATTGCCTATTTCAGTGATGTTACAGCATGTAGACATTCGAAACATACTATGATTAGTTTTCAGTGAACCTATGTTTAAATCTGTCAAAGCAGACTTTCTATTGGTAAAATTACCTTAAGCTTATCAGTAGTATATTGTGAACTAAGTGGACTAAACCACTTCAAAGTTAATTAGTTATCCTTTTCATATATTCATGTCCACACACGATTTGTAAGTTAGGGTGGCTGAAAATATACCAAAATAGCTATAGAAACAAATGAATTCAACCGACCCATTTAGAGCAGATTGATCTTAACTCAGCCTTTGTGCTTTCGTATAAAAATTGTCTGGGTCGGGGACTTAGGTTTGTTGATGACCTAACTGTATGGGATTTCAAACCCCTCTTGTGTGTTCAAAAACAATGTGCACTCACATCGAAACTGCTCTGGTAATATTGATTTATTATTCAATAGTGTGATTCACATTGGTTTCTTATTATCTTCGTTTTTCTCCTATCTTTTGATTTGTCTAGTTAGTGTTTATTTGTCGTACATAAATGCTTTAACGTGTATATATGTGATTAGATCGTTCTAAATGTATTGCTCATATATATCACATATTTCTGATAAGCATCACCTCTTGATTGTATAAGTAAATTAAACAGTTAACCTACCACTTTACTACCGTCATTGAAAATTGCTAACTTAGGTGTGCAATACTTTGATATTCAAAATACCATGGTGTCCTACAATGCTAATTGTTTGGATTAATTTTCACACTAATTTAATTCTTCAAATGTATTATTCAGGAAAATCTGGAATCTTTTTAGACGGAATATATCATGCAACAGTTTGATTAAAATTTCAAAAGATTGGAATAACTGACTAATCTGTAAAAAAACACTTCCTTTTTTCCCAGCAATTAACAAGAATCTTTAACATCTTTATAATTAAGGTGAATAATCTTAACACCAATTATCGTAACAAATCAAACGAAGTTGACTTATTATCGTCACCTAGTTCAAATTAATTCAAAGTACGGATTGGAGAACTTTCCAAATCTACCATATGTGTTTAATTATGCATACAGCTGTTGGGGCCCGTATACGTTTACAAGTACCTTAGAGATATAGTCATTTAATTGCTTTCGGAACGAAAATCTCTTTATTAGTAATGAAATAAAAGGACTAATAGTATATTGCGATTAAGTGGAAAGAAAAAAAATTCACAATCGTACACAAGCAATTACAACACAATAAGTCACACAAGCTAACAGTCAAAGTCGGGACATTTCTAACATAACCATTCGAGCCTAAAGAAGAGGATGTGCCATTCAGAATGCATCACTGATGGCACTAGTGTTAAAGGACCATCATTTTTGTCTAACTTACAGACTACCACATTTTGACCTTATGTTTATCGTACATTAGACATTTAACAACCAGTTTTTTTTATAATCATTCAATACTTAGTGAAAATTGTTCACTTACCTTCCGTTTGTTATTATTAATGGCTTTATTCAGTATTATATGCTTAGTAGAATATAGAATTCTCAGCAAAAGGTATTTTAACAGGTTCCTTTTACAACAAAAGGTGATAACTGGATACACATAAACATAAATTAAGTAAATAAACTACTGAGAATTAAATGAAATGCTTTTTATTAAGATTGAGATCTGCACAACTTTTTAATTAGAAACATGTTTAAGAATACAAGTTATTGACTAGCTGAACTCTAACAACTTGTTTATCACAGTATATTTGCTAGATAAGGCATTGTAGAGCTTTTATGCCTTTGCTTGAGTGCATCGACTGTAATGCATTTTTGCGCCTTGTTTTACTAGGAGGTATACAAGGAGAACGATATGAATAAAGTGGGTGGTTACTATTTGATAACACTTCTTAGGGGTTTGCAAAATTTTAAATATCTATCCGTAACCATATTAATAATGACTTAAAACGATTCACACACTTTGCTAACTGCCTTCCGCACTCCCCGCAATACACTGAAATCTTTTCTCAAAAACCTGGGAAAGTATAATCGGGAGCAGTATAAAAATAGTATTATGCAGGTACTAAGAAATCGCAAAAGTAAATGCAGCCCCTTTATATAATAAGTCAGATGGCAAACTTTCTTCGATAACTAAAACATAAGAAGAACAAGAAAGACCAGAGGGAAAATTCACACCAAGATAAATGACCATTGACACGGTTTTCACTACAGAATTTCTAGCAGTGAAAGCGTTATAGGATTTTAAAGGGGTGTTTGAGTGCTGTTTGTGCCCCAGAATAAATTTAACACTTTGACATTCAGAAGGGTTAAGTGTGCGATCACCGACAACAGGTTATCGTTCAACAAGAGACAAGAACTCATTCATTCCAAGTGGATGTGGAGAGGTAGATATCGAGATCGTCCGCATATTCAACAAAAGTGCTTCCTGTGGGAAATAGCAGGTCATGCAAGAAAACAGAGAAAGGAACAGGGTAAAGAAATGCTCCTCGTGGAACACTTTCATGAATTAGTAGAGATGTTGAAAACTTTTCTCCAAACACAGTGTACTGTTCTCTTCCAGAGAGATAGAAACACAGGCAGTTGGTTATCCAGCTTTCAGTGTTGATTTTGACAAACTTGTTAAGTACTAGTTGTCATGGCATAGGGTCAAAGGCAGAAGTATGGTCTAGAAATGCGCACCGAACATCTTTCTTACCCTTTTTCAACTATATTGTATTGAAAGACAACAACAGCATCTGTGTCACTCTTTTGCAATCAGCATTCTCACTCATCCTCATATGAAGTAATCTAACAATATAAGTTATACGTAATTATATTTGACCGGCTCCTCTTATTACTTATTTTTCTATGCCTGTTAAAGGTATTATCGTATTTTTCAATTTTTCTCCCTGGAGTTTGATTGTATCTGAATTATTAGAAGGATCTATTGGCGGTGGATTGTTATCAATTTCAGCACAATTATTTGCTTGTATAGCTGATCTAACCCAAAAATCACCTAATGAAATAGTAGTAATATCCAATGAAAATATGGATTCAGTAACTCAGGCAAAAAGATTAGTAAAAAAACGTTGGCTTTTATTTACTTTACTCGATGGTGTAATCACTTGTGGTATGGCATTTGCAAATGCACTAACAGGTAACAATTTAACATATGTTAAATCAGTATTAATTTTTACAAAGTATTTCGTTTCAAGCGGTAGTTTCATAATTGATTAGAAATACAGTTTTTTTCATGAAAAAAGTCTAACCATTACATAATGTATATATTATATAATTTTGACTAGGTAATTCATGGTAGTTTTCCTTATTAGGGACTAGTGTATAATATGTTCCTCTTTTAATCAGTGATCACATGGAAAGTACGGGCATTTGTGCCGTTTTCTACGTTGTCTATGACTAATTTACTCGATCATGTTAAACACGGTTTTGTTACTTTTTAGATTTTATCACTGTAGTTTATGATTAAAATTTAACAAATAAAATTGCATAATTCAGCAAAACAGTATTGTTACTTTAAAGCTATTTAAGTTGTAAGTTTATTGTAGGACAGAATAACACAAGCTCATCGGTAGCTCGATAGCAAATAAATGTTTTCTGTAATCGTAAATGTTTAAACCGCTTCTACTGAACACTTTAGACTAGGTAAAATTATTAACAAAACAATTTTTTCTGTTCCCCTTATTACTGGGTGTTTATCTTATGTACATTGGTGTTTCTGTTATCTTTTACAGGTTTCATGATTCAACATTATCGTTTCTACATAACAATGCTAACTTGTATAGCCTTTCTTATTCCTTCAGTAATTACTTTATTTCTCGTACCTGAAACAAGTGTGAAGACAATACAAGTTGAACAGACAGAAGATATTGAAAATTCATCCAATGAATTATGCATTACAGCTCCAGCAGTTCATAATGAAACTAGTAAGCATCAAGAGTCCTCTAGTAATTATTCAGTCCACGTACAATCTGAAAATAGCTGTATGAATAAGCTACAAGTAAGAGAGTTGTTGTAAATTATGCATTATACTTTCAGTGCATTACAACCTCCTGTTAATATTTTAAAAGGTTAATTAATATTATTTGGTTGACAGTATAGTTGACTTGGCATTAGCTTATTAGTTCAGATCATAGCATCAGATCCTATCTTCATCATCTTTACATCTAATTCTAAGAAAGTAATTCATAGACTAAATGATAATAATAATTAAATTAAGCTACTACAATGTTCGCGTTCATAGTGCTTTTATGTACAGAACTTCTTACTTATCAGGTAATAGAAAGTAATCACGTATAGTTAACTTGAAAACAAACAGTGTTCAATGGACAATTATTTTAAAGTTTTTGATAACAAATATGAATGTTAATCTGGCTGTTTGAATAACCTTTGTAAAGTGTGATAAATATACCCGAACACAACGGGTATTTTACCATCGTATGATGTCACTTAAACTTTGGAATTAAACTCCATGTGATTTACATGTAATAACGGTTTTCTAAATAATAATTCGAGTTTGGAGTATACATACATCGCCACTCAGTTAAGTATTTTTTAAAACTAAGTTTGATAAATCTTTCAGTTACAAACAGTAATAAATGCGTTTAGTTGACCTCATTTTCTTGAAACTGACATGTTTATATCCAAGTACATACGTATCTAAGAAACAGTCAAGACCTATTGATCCTTCTGAATGATCATGAGTGATAGTATTTTTATGTACGTGTCTTTATTAATAATCTAATTTTAGCGACTATCAATCTAGAAAGTCATTTAAACTGTGAATATACCTGGATCGGTAATTAGTCGGAACGATAATGATTCAAAACTTTGTATGTGTAGATATTTCTCACTATATTTCTTCATGATTTTATATAATCCTTTTAGTTATATGTAAGTGCTTTTGAATTGCTTTTCAGATTATATCAAAACTACCTCGTACTCATATAGTAATAATTATCATTATTTTCATGTTTTCCATCTCTGGTGTGACGGATACACAATATTTATTTCTTTACTTAATGAGTGGTCCTTTTATGTGGGATGCACAAGTAGTTGGTTTATTCACGTAAGTTTACGTGTACTGGAGTGTATTTCAGTTTTTAATCTAGTGTTTGGTAACTTTAGGAAACTGATTTTCTAAGCATTGTGATTCATAAATTATATGTCTATATCCTATTAGTCATTTCAACGATACGAACTTCATCAGTCAAAACGATTTGTCATTTTTGTTCTGTTTTACTTTCCTCACATGTGCTTAAAGCTCTTGTTCAATCACTGACGGTTATAGACCAGGCTTTACAACCAGTATTGACGTCAGATGTTTTGCAGTGATAGTTTACTGTATACTAATTCTGAATGTATACCTTTTTTGTATAGCAGTTTCTTTCATACAACTAAAGCCCTGTAGTTGCGAAAGTTTTGTTTCAATTGAAATATGGTTTTTTTGGGGGGGGGGAGGTTTATTTTCGAGGGTCTCAAATTTAAACTTTATTTAATTAAGAAATGAATCTCAAAGTAAAAATATGACAGAAAATCAACCAAGTAAATGCCTAATTTCTTAGTTGTCTGTTTTGTTATTTCCAGTTTGATAAATAATAATGTAAAGTGAATTCATCTAATATACGAAAGAAAGGAGCACTAGGTTTTATTGTCATCTAAATGCTCATAATGCAATACGTTCAGTATTGGTGTTTATGTTTCCCGAAGACTCATCTCATGTATTTGTATCTTTCGTATATTGGTTTTATTTGACGCCCCAAATATATTGTTCTTTCCCCCCTCAAACCCCATCATCGAGTAAAGTTAAATACCTACATTTTTCTATCATTTTGAAATCACACCTATCACATAAGATATATATTTTGCAGTCCAGATTTAATTCATGGCAAAATGAGGCTTTTCAGCACAATTTTCAGGGATCCGAAAACGAATTCTTTATTAATGTTATAATTCTCTCTTATTACAACCCAGCTATTCCTATTTCTTATTATTTTTGGACACCAATTCACTCGACAACTTCCTAAATGAGAACACGGTTGAACAGGAAGGAAATTATATTCCAACTAATAAGGGTAGATGGAAGTAAGAAGCATAATAAAATAAACGTTAGTATATTTATAGTTTTAACATGAAAAGATTTTAGAGTCTTATTGGATAAATGATATTCAAGTAATCAACAGTTTAGCTAGAGTCTGTCATATGGTCTAGTGGTCATAACGGTGTAGTGAACAAGAACACGAGTGGGGACAATCGAATATATTTGACACGCAATTACAGAGCATCTCACAAAAATCTGAGATCCATTTAGTAAATAGTTAATTTGCAAAATATCAATCCATCGTCTCAAACTTGACTCGTATATTTGCAAACATCAGTCCATTGTCTCAGATTTCATTGCTCATGCATTTTCACACCAATTGCGTTCCGTTCTCGTTCTTTCCTGCTCGATCTTCTACTGAAATACATTCTGTGCCTGACAATCGTTATATACTGCTTGTGTGGATATAAGTAACCCACACCACAACGGTACAAAGAAATATGCGAATTGCTACTGTTCTAATAACATTGTCTGTTAAGTAAGTTAATAAAAGGGCTTAACCAAAATTAACCATAATCAAAATTGGTTGTAGAATAGTTGTTATAATATGACTTAAAACAGTTGTGAAATACTTTTGTATAATGTTGAGATAGTTTGTTAATTTTGTTAGCATGGTGTTCAACCTATCCACTACTCAGTTGTGTTTAGATTGTATATAACAAGTAAAACAATTTCATCCCTATGTCCTAATTCTAAAACCTTAATTCTGAAAAAAAACTTAGTCCAATGGTACTGTATTTCATGGACGAACTAACTAGATCTAAAATAGCGCTTCTTTGGATTTTTGAGTGAAATTCATTCATCCATATGACTACATAAAACTTTAGCATTATGGTTGGTATTCGTTCGTGACAGAAACTTTAATCCTAAACATAAAGAATATGGGTACTCTTAAAAATCTGTTTTTATTTTTGAGAAAACGAAGAATCTGTATCCATACGGCCAAATATAAATGTCGTCGTTTGTTCGATTTACAGAGAGTAACCTGTATAAGATGTTAATAGATTCATTCATTCATTCATATGTAAAATCTATGTACACTCTCGTAGTATTATTGTTTCCTTTTCCATGAACTATCCATTTACAAAAGATGATTTCTGATTAGCTAAAACCTGGATAAAAATTCCTTTTGATTATCTAAGCTCATCCCTTTGCTATACCCTCATCATATTTCCTTCATCTTCATTATTCTATATAAGATAGTAAGTACATCTAATTGTTCCTTTATTTAGAATCCAAACATTTGGTCCTTCAAATTTTCTGTTTAAATATGTGGTAGATGTTTCAGGAGAATGAAAACTTTCATTCGAAAATTCATTCTTAGATTTAGTACAGTCCCTTTTTGCTAGTATAATGCGAAGATGGAGTTCATTTGAAAAATGATATGTATTTGCACCATATATTTCGAACAATCTGACCATACTTATACTTGTCAAGGCATTTTTACACATGAAAACTAATAAAGGTCAATTACATGAAAGGTTGAATAAATATAACTGTTGATTAAAAATATAAGACGGAAAAATAATATTTAAACACAAAGAATGTTTAAACAAACAATTTTCATCAATAACTTCATCGTCAAGCTCTACAGCTATATATCCATAATTATTGTGTTAGAATGGTCAAAATGAGTAGTATATAAATGCAATTAAGATAAGAGATTCATAGGAATTGAGTAGATTGAATGTTCAAATCAATCATGAGACGGCAGAGATTCAAGGTAAGCGTCTATTATATCCTTTAAATATAAGATGACACATTCATAGCCCATGGTAGATAGGGTAGTCGATTGTGCACCTCTTTTCGATACAAAAGTTTGATTTTTTGGAGACAATTTCGATGAAATCCGTTATTTATGAGAACTGTAATTTTACTCGTTTAATTAGATAAATCAGGACTTGATACAAAACCGAGAAAATTTCATCTATTTCGGTATCTATTAAGTGAAAAAGTATGGCTCTGTTGGTTGATTTCGTGATTCTTTTTCTAGCCACACTGGTACTTGTTCACAACCACATCTGGTTTTTAAACCTATATGGAATCATGGGCTTCTTTGTTTCAGTTGCATTCAATTTTGCAGCATTTTATATTTTTACAATGACTGTTTTTGTTTCGAAATTGTGCTATTTGATTCTCCTCTATAAGGTGATGCAATGTAAACCTTTTTTCAATATTGGACGATGAAGGGGTCTCGGTTTTATTAGACTTTTACACGGATTGGTAAATTTCACTTTTGTTTCTATCATCGGTTTTAAATCCCCTTCAATCGTACCCATGCTGTAAATCCATATCATTACTAGCTTTTCTCAATTTACTCTGTTTTGCGCCCACCTTTAGTGGAGGATACCGTTCCTACTCACTGACTTCTCTCGGCAGAAGTGTTGTTTACGAAGTTGAGAGGACGAGAAGCGAGTGTTCAGCCCTGAGACCGGGTTGTTGCATACGGGGTATCCACTTAGAAGTGTAGAACAACCCTGATTCCAAACCAATGATGCACATGGATTCCAGAATCTTAAGGGGACAAACAGGGTTTGAACTTGTTCTTGATTTTCGGCCACCATGAAGTCGCATTTCTTAATGTTGTTCCACTGCTTTTAGGTCAAAGGCGCGGTGAGTGGTCACCTAAGAAAACTGACTGTTTCCGTTTGAGCAACCGAGCAAGTATCACAGTCGCCCCTCCCCATGGATTTTGTGTGGCACGCATATATTCTAATGCCCTTTTGTACCAACGTTTATGTCCTTATATAAATAAATAATTGTGAAGGATATGGTGTTCTACAGAGATTATAGTTCACTTTTGCTGATTATTGTCAATAAACAGAAAATTTTACTTTTTACCAGAAAATATTAACTTTTAATATTTCTGAGTATTATTATATTGATAGTTACACTTGTATTATAACTTATACCTCAAAATATGTTCTTTTTTTGTTCAGAGGTTTAAGAGATGTATGCTGCACATTTGTATCTGTATTATGTGTCAGTACGATGGTCAAGTTTCGTAAAGATCAACCAACTAATCATGTTGAAGTAGTATCAATATCAAATAGAATGAATACAACATTATTTGGTCGTTTAAAATCTGTGGATCAAATTCTTCTCATTATGTTGGTATTTTTTGGATTTATAATTTTTTCTATTTATCAAATCATTATGGGCATAGCTTGTACATTCACTGTTCCAACAGCAAATATTCTGGTTTATTTCGGTATGGTCTTTTTTTGTCGAATATTTATTTACGTTACCATTGCTTTCAATACTTAGTATGAAAAACATAAATCACATAGGCTTAATCAATGTTACAAAATTCAATTTACATCTTTCATCTATTCTAAGATGTTTTTCTCGTTAATAGGTAATCATTGGATTATTCTATAAATGACCTGATATCCATCGATTAATTGATCACTATTTAGTTTTGTTTGTACCGTTTATTGCTTTGAACTGTTTGATGATATGTGAGTTATTATGGCTGTAAAAACATGAGTGAAGTATTCTATCTAAGACGATTATTGACTATCAATTGTAATTCCTATATTAATGCTAGTTTAGTTAGCATCATTTGGTATTCGGTAGTTAGTTGATGTGTTTGTTGAGTTTTACTCGATCTAACGAACTCTCTGCCCTCTGTTTAAAAAAACATAGTAAACAAGTACTTATAAGTACACTGAAAATATACAGAGATACAGTCAGTACTACATATATCACTGAAAAGTGTTTCCCATGATCACCATATGTTCAATGAACATATTGTGTATTCATAACTAAAATGGTCCGCATTTTCCTGTTGTCAGTATTCATGATATACATATTCAATTAACAAATGTATATACTAAATAAACGTTGAACAATCCGATACTGAATCCTCTTAACTAGAAGGTACAAATGTTTCAACTAATATTATTTGTGAAGACTTACAAGTCTGTGCTCATAGATTTCCGTTTATTTGAAATTGATTAATACATTAATTAGATTGATTTTTGTATGTTTTTCCTTGTTAGGTGTACTATCGATTCATTGACTACATATATTAGATAATTCGAATGTACCTAGAAAAAAATCTAGATAATTTTGTGCTTATTTATCGCTTATTTTCCTGTTATATGTAAACTTAAAAAAACATTCTAAATGGTTTTATATTTTGTCATTATTATTAGAAAGGGTTTCAATAATCACTATTGTTGATCTTTTAGACTGAATTTCATCAGTTTTTGTTGGTTTATGTGCATTCCGTGCGGATTGCCTCGAGATTGTCATTTTTCACAAGTTTTATCGAACAGATGAGTTATTGCTAGTAGTGAGATCCACGACATGCGTTTTGTTCTGTTTAGGACTCGTCAGTTGGATACACCCGTTGATAAAAATTCAATTATGTTTATCAACTGCGGAGTAACCCAAACTCTCACTAGTAATAGTATGAATATAATATCGATAGAGGAAGTTATTAGCTATAGTTAGCTCAGTGGATAACATGTTGAGCGTTTGAGTCAAAAGTACTGGGTTCGAGTCTCAGTGTAAACATTAGTAGTGCGATGCAAACACATCATCACTATTCTTTACCATCATTCTCTCTTCCCTTTTTTGTTGTTTATAATCTTTTCCAATACTCTTTATATTTTAAGTTTGTTCCTCTTTGTTTACTTTTATTATACAGCTACAATTCCAAGATTTGTTAAAGGTTTTCAAATATCCATACTTCGAACTATTATATCAAAATGGACAGAAGTCTCTAAACAAGGTGATGATTATATATCGATTATATGTTTTATTTATTTTAATGGATTAGTTTTTTCCTGATGAATTATTACTATTCAATTCGTCAAACTATGTGTACTGTGTTCGTGTTCAGTTCACAGAACTAACCTTCATCAAAATGGTTGTATTAAAAATGAAAATATAGTGTTACAAAACATAAAGTTATGGGTCGTAGGTTTGTTTTTAATGTTCACTTAAGTTTACGTGTGTTGTGTTCATGCTATCACATGAGCATTGAAACCTATGTATAATGATACTTTTATAAGGTGATTGTGTAGCCTTCAACTTATGAGCTTGATTCACAATACAATGCAGTAATATAAAACGGTCTAAAAAGAATTTTAGTCAATTAAATCGCCTCTTTTCTCAATAAAGTTTGGCTTTTAAATTAAATCTAGTGTGATATTTTGCAGAAGAATTCCTCCGGGATTTTAACTTGTAGCACTGATTCGCTGCTGTGTCTTTTAGTGAAAAATCCCATGCTTCAATGTGTGTATTCTTGATTGTCATATGAGAATATCACAGGCACTTAATGGGACGCTACTAATCTCTTCTCATGCTTCATTTATATGAGATGATAAGATTGATCGGATTTCGTTATGGTATTAAGAATTTATTTTCACTACAAGTCATGAATGTCTGTGATGGTCATATTGAAAACATTTCTATTAATAATTCAATTTGAAATTATTTGACTTATTCTGTTGTTGAACTTTGATCAGCCTTTGTTGCTTTATGTACATCCTGTGCGCATTGCTTTGATATAGCCATTACAACACAAAGCATTTGTTTAGGAATTATTTAAGCTATGTATGTCTAATTTACTGAACACCCAGTGTTATCACAAAATTGTCGCGTTCCAGTTTTCCTAAGAAACAAACTGGGCTTTTCAAGGTTATGTTGTTTGTTGTTTCCAGTTCACAGGGTAAGTTGAAGTTCACAAATTAGTTTAATAACTGTAACCTTTTTCAATCGGTCATACGATATGGTTGTCAGTTATTTATTTAACTGTTTTAGGATAGTTAATCTTCTGTTTACATAAAATTAAGTTGTTTTTTCTTGAAATTTATTCACCCCCGTTTAATTTTCTTAACATTCCCTTTAGGTATGGTAATGTCTGTTATTGCAGTAATGGAACGCCTTGGGCTTTTGATCAGTCTTGTAGCTCTACCAGTTATATACGCTGCAACAGTTAGCACTTTCAAAGGATCGGTATTTTTCGTTTGCGCCTCTTTTACAATTTTGGAAGCTTTAATAGTCTTGTAAGTGTCGTACAAGAAAAAAAAACAATTTGTTTTGTTTTAAAATTCTACAATATTACGGATTCTTACATTCCATCAATGTTTCAAATTCTCGGTTATGCGTGATGATGTGGTCTATTTGTCAATTCACAGCCGTCTGGTATATCAAATCGGATGCCGAAAAGGGTGTCATATAACTATTTTCAGTCAATTAGTTAGTGTAGTACATCTGGTTCCCAATTGTTGAATGAATAATCTAGATAAATGTTTTAGACGACACAAATTGGTAGACAATCAACTTACAGTGGGTAAACAATCACATACTTTCGATATAATTTACCTTCGTTAGTTAATCTATCCTCTTAGTAATTAAATAACGTGCGACACAGTCATGATAAATTTTTTCTATTTTGTAATTAATGGATGGAGTACAATGGTATGTAAAAATTAAGTTTGTTTGTTCAATTTATAGTAAGCTTTTAAAATCTATATTAGACCTCAGATTACATTCAAGAAACATGAATACCGTATTTCTTTTCACGGCAGGGGTGTTGTTTACGAAATTGAGAGGACGAAGAGCGAGTGTCTGGCGCCGTAACTGCGTTGGTGGATATGGATAGTTGGAGTTGGAAAACCCTGATTCCAAACCAGTGGTGCACATGGGCTCTAGGATCCTAAGGGAACATATGGAACTCACAACAACTGTCTCTCAACCAACAATAAATTCAGAATATTCAGTATGAACGTGAAGACGGTTTTACCGTACGGAGCTGAAACTTGGGGAACTACCACAACCATCATCGAAAATGTACAAGTATTTCTAAACAATTGTTTGCACAAGATACTCAGTGGCCGTTGGTCGGATACTATCAGCAACAGCATATTGTGGGAGAGGACAAACCAACTTCCATCTGAAGAGGAAATTAGACAAAGACGTTGGAAGTGGATAGGGCCCACATTGAGGAAATTATCAAACTGCATTACGAAGCAAGCCCCAACTTAGAATGGTGAAGAGAAACGGGAAGGAGGAACGTTAACACACTGCTCCGAGAATTGGGAGCAGATATGGAAAGGATGAATAGCAACTGGAGACAAGTGGGAAGGATTGCTTGTGACAGAGTTGGATGGAGAATGCTGGTGGGCGGCCCATGCTCCTCCACGAGGAGTAACAGGCGTAAGAAAGCAGAGCTACGTTGAAAACCTAGTTGAAATGAAATATATTTTCTCTTTATTCATCTTTTTACTTTGTCCTAATGAGAATTCTCAGTCGCCAATGAATAGAAAAATTATTTTCCGAAGCTGCTACCTTGACGCGGTGGTCGGGCTTGCCTATCGCGATGACCCAACCGAGCTATATTGGCTGGAACATATGTTCCTGTAGGTTCTACCATGCCAGGCAGGTCGATTGGAGAACGGTAAGACCAAAAGCAGCAACTCAAGGTCTGATGGTGAAGTCGTACTGCTGACTGTAGAGGGGTGTGGCAGCAGTAAGGTGTTTCCCTCGGACAACCAGCATCTGCAACGATGCTGCCTTCTCACAAGGAGGAGTGGGGTTAGAAAAGGTCGACCCTAAGATGTCACACCTCACCTTACCTCACGGATTTCCGTCTCCGGCGGTAAGGCCCTTTGAAGAACGGAGCTAATGCATTAAAAACCTTCCACGAAAAGACCGTGCGCGACCGGCCTCAAGCAGTTGCCCCTTGGGCTCTGCGGTCACGCTCCCAGGTCTTTAAGACCAACACTATTCCAATTTCTTCTTCAGGTTCCTCAAGAAATACCCTTCCACGGTGTGGGCAGCCGGGAAGTGATATCAGCCCTCATACCCGTAACAACACACGAGACCAAATTGGTCACATTCAAATCCTTCCTACACCTCCTAATATCTCACTTATCTCCATGACTAACCCTCCTCACGTCTCTTTATCACCTCGCACCGCTAGGGCAAACGATTCGAGTACGCGGAACGTTATTCCTGGTCTCCTGAAACCACGCTCTAAACTACACTTAGGAGCTTTTAACGTCCGAACACTGTGCCAAATAGGACAGCAGGCTTCCTTAGCTAAGACTTTAGAATCCCGCGCCATCGATGTGTGCTGCGTCTACGAAACGCGCATACAGGATCCGAGTAGCGTCATTCACTTGACCTCACCTTGCCAAAATAAAGAACCGACTCGATTCACACTTCGTGTATCTGGAAGCCCTGATTCTGCTTCCCGTGGCCTCGCCGGCTTAGGTATAGCATTGAGTCCTAGGGCAAAACTAGCTCTCTTAGAGTGGATCCCAGTAGACAGTCGTTTGTGCGCTGTCCGACTAAACGGAGCAGTAAGGATCCGAAAAGACAGGGACACTCGTTGTTGCCTCTTCGTCGTCTCTGCCTATTCTCCTTACTGACTGCAGCGCAGATGATATAAAAGATGAGTTTTACAGAAAGCTTTCCGACCTTCTCCAAAAAGCTAGGCGCTCGGATGTAGTAATAGTGGCAGGTGACTTTAATGCTCAAGTAGGTAAACTAAGCGATAAGGAAAGACACCTAGGTGGATCTTATGGTGTCGTGGCTCAAAGAACAGATAATGGCGACCGTCTGTTGCAGCTATGCTCAGATAACCGCCTGTTCCTTGCAAATACAAACGTTAAGCATAAGGAAAAACATCTTTTAACATGGCGACCCCCTAATTCGTCCCAACGTTGGAGCCAAATAGATCACATCGCTATCAGCCACCGATGGAGGGGCTCGATAGAAGACTGTCGCTCATTCTGGAGCACATGCTTAGATTCAGATCATGCTCTAGTGCGAGCGCGTATCTGTCTGCGTCTTACTGGACGTAGGAAAGACGCTGCAAGTAAACCTCTTGGGGTCCTGTTTAACGATAGTCAAACTAAGAGTATATTTCAGGAACAACTAGGAAAACAGTTAGGCAGCCATGTATGTGATGCCCACCCCGATGCAGCATGGAATGATATCCGAAAAGCTGTGGAAACAGCAGTGATATCTGCTAGTAAGGTAAACCATAAGGTTAGGGAGAAACACTGGATCTCAGCATCTATCGCACTGATAAATGCTAGAAAACTCATTCTATCTGGATCTGAACATAACGAAGAGCGGAGTCAGCTTAAGCGCAAACTGACAAGAAGCCTACGCAATGATTGCGAACAGTGGTGGGTAGCGAAAGCAAGAGAGATGGAAAAGGCAGCGGCAATAGGTAATAGCAGACAATTGTTCAGACTTGTTAAGGAAACCGGAATTAGGAACCCGACTGTTAGCGAAACAATCTCAGAGAAAGATGGACATATTATACATTCTCAATCCAGGAGATTGGATCGATGGGCAGAACACTTTAGGGATCGGTTCAACTGGACTTCAGCCACACTTCGGTTTCCCACGATCTCCAGTCAACCTGAATGCCAAGTTGATGTAAGTCCTCCAACTCTTTACGAAGTTGAAAAAGCTGTAGGCAATCTGAAGCGAGGGACAGCAGCAGGCCCTGACAGGTTTACTCCTGAGATTTCTAAGGATGGTGGTTCAGTATTAGCAGTGAGATTAACTGAGGTCTTAGGTAGAATTTGGGAACTGGACGTAATCCCATCTGACTGGTCTCAATCACTGATTGTGCCAGTCTATAAGAAAGGACAAAAGTCCTCTTGTGACAATCAGAGAGGAATCAGTTTGACTAATATAGTGTCTAAAGTATTAGCTTCAATAATACTTCGACACCTAACTAAAGCTCGTGAAGAGCAGACTAGAAAAAACCAGGACCTGGACGTGGTTGTATAGACCAGATATTCACACTACGTCAGATTCTAGAACACAGACACACATTCAGGCACCCCACAATCGTAGTATTTCTCGACCTTAAGGCGGCATTCGACTCTGTTGATCGTGAGGTTCTATGGCAGTGTTTGTCACTGAAAGGAGTACCAAAGAAGTACATTAACCTTATAAAGGCTCTCTACTCGAACACCAACTGGTCGAGTGAGAGCTTATGGCGAACTGTCATCAGAATTGATTACCTCAAGTAGTGTTCGTCAGGGCTGCCCACTATCTCCATTCTTGTTCAACTTTATGGTCGACGTACTTTTAGAGATAACACTTTACTCGTCTAGATTTTCAGGGGTTGAACTTCTACCGGGAAGTTCACTTGTTGACTTAGAATATGCTGATGACATAGTTTTATTTGGTGAAGACGCTGACAAAATGCAGAGTCTTCTGACCACTCTAAGCAACAATGCAAGCATGTTCGGGATGCGATTCTCTCCCTCGAAATGTAAAATGTTGCTTCAGGATTGGATTGCATTGACACCCGAACTAATGATAGGGAGTGAAGTAATTGAGCGTGTCGATCGCTTCACTTATCTTGGAAGTCTGATCAGCCCTTGTGGTCTGGTGTGTGACGAAATCTCTGCATGAATACAGAAGGGTCGATTAGCTTTTACCAATTTGCGTCATTTATGGCGTAGGCGAGACATCCGTCTATCAACCAAAGGACGTGTTTACTGCGCAGCAGTTCGTTCCGTCCTACTTTATGGCAGTGAAACATGGCCGGTAAGAGTAGAGGATATTCGTAGGTTACTAGTATTTGGTCATAGGTGTCTTCGAAATATTGCTTGCACATCCTGGGACTATCGAGTAAGTAACGCAGTTGTTAGGAAACGGGTACTAGGTAAGGATGGCAAATCAATTGATGAAGCAATGAAACTTCATCAGTTGAGATGGCTGGGACACGTGTTACGTATGCTTAACGACTGACTGCCTCGACGTGCGATGGTATAGGAGTAGGTTGGAAGAAAGCTAGAGGCGGTCAATCCAAAACATGGCACAAGTCCATGAAGTCACTGGCAAGTGGACTGAGTTATGTTGGTAGGTGTACACTATCTAGTTGGGGACCGCGAAATGATAGCAACCGATGGTTAGAGACCCTGAATGACATGGCTCAAAATCGTTTGCAATGGCGCAGATGCATCCACTATATTGTGTTCTCCCAAATTTTGATCTCCTTATTCCTCCTTGTCTCTTTGTTTTCTCTTCCCAAATTTATTTCACTGTATTATACTCTTTAAATAACATCTCCAAACACTAATTTTCCCGATTACTGCTTATACTCTTATTACCTCTACCACTATGGGATTTGAATCGACCATTGCATCTCTGTGCTAATGTGGTGTGGCAACTCGAACTGATGTACGTACGTACGAAGTTCTACGTTGTGACTGACTGACTAACTGAATCTTATCATATTTTTTTTTAGAAAACTATCACTATATTTATTGATAAATTTTTGTATTATACTTGTAATTTTTTTGCAAGTTTTCGTCTTTAGTAATTAAATGTTCGTTGCGTAATTGAAGAAACAGAGTAATAGTTTTAATTAGTTAATTAACTAATCTCTGTTTATACTTTTAACATCAAACGTTTACTCCGAATGATTAGGATTTCTTTCCTCAGACAGAAAGAGAGAGAGAGGAGTAGTGTTTATCGATCAGTACTGACTGGAAAATGGTATACAAATATACATTTTATTTGTTGAAAGCTAAGTGCATGAACTACTGAACTAACTCTTCATCACAGTTACCAATACCTATATTTTTATATTCAATAAATATACTGGATTATAGTCATACTCTTATCCTGATTTGTTTTCCCTATTTTTAGAATTTTACCAGTATATTCTCCAAACAAATTGTCACTGGAATCGTAATCAGTTAATTATTGGTAATATAATCTGTTATGTCATTGAACTTAAAGAAGAAGAAAAAAGACAGGAATCCAGACTTTATTAAAAATATAATCAACTCATTTATTTATTTATTTACTTATAAGAAATCATTTATATTTTCAGAACATTTGTTACATTTCTACAATAAATCACGATGTATTGGTGACACTGATAAAAGGACTGCAAACACCGTTGTTCGGTTTTAGTTTGAAACTCGTTAGCATTATATAGATTAAAAATATTGCTTAACCAAATATCATTTGACCATTAGTCTATATTTTCTAACTTTACATAGCATGATTTCGTTGATAGACATCCGTTCAACCTCTGATATAACTGACTATATAGATCACACTACTTCTTAATATATCTTCAGAAGGAAGCATTTGAGATAAATAATTGTTGGTGTTTGTGCGAACCTTTTTGGTTTTAAAATAATTTTTCTCACAGAATGATTGTGATACCTTGTGTGTACAATTAGGAACTAGAAGTGTAATCCATGACTAACGTTTGATAATATTTAGGAGTCATCAGCTGGATATACTTGCATCCCGGCGTTGATATTCATATTGAGACCCGAACACAGTATCTTTAGCCTTAATCATCAAGTAAACAACTCATTGGAGTCTGAAGGGAAAGGTGCTGGGTCCGAGTCCTAGTATAGATATCAACACTGAGATGTATAGTCATCATAATGTTTCTTTCATAGATAGAGGTTCCTACTCAGGAAAAGTTTACCTTAATACAGTTAAATTAAATAATAATTCAAGTTTTTTTTTGCTGTTAGGCAAAGTATAAATAAAATCCAATATATTAAATTGCTTCTAACATTCATACCTCCTATTATTATTGTGATCTACGTCTTCACTTACATCTTGAAAAAAATTGATTGTGCTTATCACATGTGTATGGAATCTGTTTATAACAAAGTTTTTTTTTTCCGTCTAAAAATATTTTTCTTGCGGTTTGATTTGTCATTTTTGTTTTAATTATAATTTACGTGTTTTGTAAGAATTTGTGTTTGAAATGTGTTATCGTTAAATAAATCATTAATTTAGCGATATTCAGAAAATCGTCTGACAATGTTCGAATTAATAGTAATTATCTATACATTTGTCATCATAACATAATCTGTAGGTTAATTCTCTTGAAAACGTTTTGTTCATAGACGATTGTTTAGTATCATATATGATCTAACATACTATTGTAACGTTAGAATGCCTTAAAAACTGTCTTCGAGAAAATCATTTTGATCTAACGAATGAATGGAATCGAACAAAAGTAATTATAGGTATAATTAACTTTTGATGTTGTACACTGTTTTACAGCATCGATTAATGGATTACAATTTACAGTTCATGTTCTAAGTTACTGTATTGAAGTAAATTTTAATTCAAATCATTGTACTTTTACAGTGTGACTTGCCACATACTCAAGACACATACAGTAATTCATTCCAGTGAGTAGCACCGTGTTTTATAAGCAAACTTACTAAAAGTAATAGGCAACCATATTTCTGAAGTTTTATTTTCATAGAACCGATTAGTTTATTACAATATTCAGGATTTTTCATTTAAGTCAGTCGGTAAAGGTTATCTATTAATAATGATTCGAAAACTGAATAGAATCACCTAAATCTATAAATCTAGGGAAAATATTGTTCCACGCTATTGTATACAATTTGTTGATGGAATTTTCTAAGTGATGAATTGAAAAAGGATACACTTGTTCGTACATAATTTATACTGTATGCACTGTTATGCATAATTCCTATTTTGAATGCAACTTATTATTTTACCACAAACGGGTATAAATCGAAATTAGTACTAGAGTTGTTGTTCCCTCATTTACTAGCAATTTGTAATTGCAGTCTTAAGATAATCGATGTTTCCTTTGGGGCCATAAATTATTTTATAGAGTTCTTTCGATATCCAGAAATAAAATAAAACATGATATCAATCAATTGATACTCGGCGACCGATTATTGTGAATATCTTCGTCTTACACGAAATCTTGCGCGGTCCTTGTAGCTTACTGGTTAGCTCTTTGACTATGATCATGAACGACTCAGTTCAATTTACCACCGAATCATGGAGTTCTTCGAAATTATAAATAAGCATTAACTAAAGAGTCAAGTCCATCACGAAACTTAAGTTTAGTACTTCCTATTGGTTGCTTACAATCACTTGAAACATGAAAGCACACTATACAGGCACTGTTTTGTCAACATGGTTTTAACCTGTTAATATATATCAAGTTCACTGTATGGCTTAGTTTAATAACAATATGTGTGGAAAATCAGCTTCGAATATTCATAGTTAAAGTTTATTTCATGAATTCACACCATACTTACACTTTAGTAGCAAAATGTTTTGGAAACTGAATAGTATGAAATATAAACAACTGACTAGACGTTTGTCATTCATATTTTAAGTGATACCGATAAAATGAAAACCACTTATTACAAATAGTAAATATTGCTGTAATATCCAGTACTGAATAACTGTTAATACTTATGATGCAATTCATTAGTTGGGGCTGAATATTCATAACGACATAATATATCATTATAACAGATAAGGTACAAGTTGGTATGGCTGTTTGATATGCATCTCGAGTTGTCTAACAGGCAATAAGGTTGAAGACTGTCTTCAGTAGCGTACCAGAATCGATTCGGATTTTAGTTCTTGCCTCTAGCTGCAGTCTACTCATTGGTTGTGTGTAAAGAGCTCAAGGCACATCTATAACTGTTGATCTTACTACTAATAAGTTTATACATGCTTCTGTTTTAAACTCTGATGTAATAGGCATCACAGTAGACTTAAACTATTTTGGAATTGAGAAGAATTCTTAACAACACTCAAATATTGGTCATAACGAGTTCATACTCCACCTAGAAGTGATAACATTATCAAAGTAGTTTGATTTCAAGATATTGTTCCTATTTTCGTACATGCAGTGATAAGAAAATAGTTGTCTATGCTATTCCCACTAATAACAGTTTTACTATAGTCTCATAGGTATACTAGACATACTCTTGTGCGTAGATTCCAATGCACCTGTGAATCCTACAGGACCATTAATCTTAGTGGTTTATTCATACTAGTTAAGTGTCTCAATAAAATAAGATCCTTGTAGAAAAGTAATTGTAAGTTGCATGATTTCTCTCTAGTATCACAAATAACCATAATTTTTAATTAAATTAAGGAAACGTGTAGTGGTTAATCAAGAGTTTTCAGCACATAACACTGGTTCAAAAATATAAAATTTAGTTATATTCAATAAAACTAGATCTTCCATAAGTTGTTACTTTGGCTTTTGTAACTTAGTCTCTACTGAACATATGCTTAGGCGTCTGGTCTCTGTGGTATACGTTTGGCATTTCCGGACTAGTCGACACGACTAATCATCATCCTTGCAGGTAAACTCATATCAAATGGGACGGTGATTCCTTGCCTGGGTACCTTAGTCTTTTTGTCAGTCATTGATATCAAACAGTTAAGAAGCTCTGTCTTATCAGATTTCCTTTGATGACAAGTGATGTGATGAAAGGTAGTGCTTTGAGTTCTCTGATCTTTATAACTTATGTAAATGATGTCTCCAACTGTTTCAGCATGGTTAAACGTTTTCTGTATGCAGATTATCGTGAGGTTAGCCATATGGAAAATCATATTAGTATGAAGCTAAATAAAGTCACTGTTTTCGTTCTCAAAATGGAATTCAGAAATTTGCGCAGTTATAAGTGAATCGGTTTGCAATCGAGTTCCATTTATCAGGTCTGACTTCAGCAGCAATGGTAAAGTGCTATCTAAATTTCATACAATGTTAGACCCAGAATTCAAGTATTCATACATTCTATCTCTCTCAGAAGTGGTCTGAATGCAGATTTACTAGTCTCAGTCACTTTTGTGTTGTACTCTAGGTAACTTCTTTAACAATTACTTACGTAGTTATATTGTAAATATCATGCCAGAAGTCATCTTCCAATTTAACTAATCAGTGAAAAGCACAACATTCTGTGTGATTGCAACTGAATTTAAGTTTTACCATCGTCATTGTTATTGTCTTACAACTGTTGTGATGAATTAACTACTAATTCAATGTTTCTTTGTATCCTTATCATCTTCGGAATCAAAGGTATTTACATGTATTTTCTTTTGGATCGTACTGTTTACTAATAAGTAGTTTAGTTTATTTGACATAATTTAAGTTAAAAAATATCTCTAGGTTTCAATAGTTCTAAAGTGTATCTTCATGGGGGAAACAACAAGTAATGTGATGTGGAGAGAAAGATACAATGCCTCCCATTCAATACGTTTTCATAATATTTCTGAATCTGATTCCGCCGGTACAATATATTTTCATGATATATCTGAATCCAATATCATCGTTGCTTTTATATCAGTTGACGAAGATGTGAACAGAATGTTGGTGATCCCAACACAGATTTACCCAGTAATGGCTGCTCAAGTTGTTGATCATGCTCATTGTGAACCTATTTTACAATAACTAACCAAATTTATCTGGGGTGATTTGTCTCCACGTGTCACATGTCATGTGTTAAAGCAGTATTATCAACTATGTCAGTCGCTATCCATTCTAAATGACTACATTATGTGTCGACAGTGTGGTCGTTTCAGATAACCTACTCTCATCCATCCTGCAACAACATCATATAGCATACTCAGGTCTTTGAAGAGTGAATTCTATCGTCCGGATCCATATGTTGATCTAACTTTGATGAGTACGTCGAAGAGTTAGTGAGTATATGCAGAAAATGAGCTTCATTTTCAAGGGAATCCCATTCTCGGTCATCTACAAATGGACCTTGATCGCAAGTACATATTGATTTTGTTATCCCATTTCAATGTACCAATTTCTTCGTTTACGCTGACGCTTACTCTAATTGGCCAGAGATTTTGCCCGTAAACGAAATCACTTTTCAGGACATTATTATAAAATTACGACAGTTATTTTGCCATTTTCGAGTTTCAGCTGTTCTTGTATATATTAGTTGGCAAACGGATCAAGGAAGTAACATAATGAGTAAAAGATGTTTTACTATGAGTTTAAATTACTGAATATTAGTCGTATTTAGTGTTTAATATTCATCTATTTGAAAGTAGGCTGACTTCATATAGAAAACTTTTGTAGTCTCAGACTACTTCATAATTTAAGTCTCCAGTTTATAATTTGATACCTTACAAATATCCTAAAACTATAACGGCATAAATGACTAACATGTAAGCATAGACTTCATGGTGCT